CCAGCTACTTGGGAGGCCCGAGGCAGGAGAATCGCTTGAACCCAGGAGGTGGAGGTTGCAGTGAGCCAAGATTGTACCACTGTATTCCAGCTTGGGCAACAGAGTGAGACTCTGTCTCAAAAAAAAGAAGGCAGACAGACTTGAGTAATGTTAAAGAGTTAAAATGGACAAGACTTGGTGGGTACTAGCAGGTAAAGGAGAGAAGGGTGAGGGAAGTCAGGCATGACTCTCAGGTTTCTGGCTTGGGCAACTGGATAGAAGATGGCACTGAGGAGGGAAACATGAAAGGAGGAGCAGGCTTGAGTGGAAAGATGGTGAATTTCTCCCCTATTCTATTCCTAATAATGAGAGTTCTTTCTAAGCAGGGCTTCTGTAGTTCTGTAGCAGGTAGAAGCCTTTCAGGACCAGTAAGATGCTGGCATGATGTGTGATATTCCGGTGCCCCCAGTGATGATTTTTCCAAGCAGTTGTGTTTTATTAGCTGAACCTCTGGGTGGAAGAACAGTGACAGTGCCAAGCTGAGACTAATAATCCTCCAGATCACATACACTGCTACACACAAACAAACTGAAATTCCTGTGTCATCTCTTGGTTCATTTTATGATCAGTAAAAAAAGCAATCTCCCTCTTGTTCCACATACATATTCCACAAAATACAAGCAGCCCATATTTTAGTCCAGATATCTCGGTAGGGGAAAGAAAAATCTCATTTTGCATTGGCACATGTGATGCCAGGAAATCTCTGCTTTCCCAGGGTGCTAGAAAATTAAAACTGTAGTAATCAACATTGGATCTAGAAAATGAGATATACAGTAGCTATTTGCACCAAATGAAATTGGCTTTGACTGGCCTTAGCTTTTTCCTATTCCACTCACCTCTCAGGTACCATCCCTTTTCTAACTTTAACCCTTAAGCGGAAGGCACCTCCCTTCTGCTGTTGGAGGCTGAGCTGGGATTAAGTGTCATTTTAACCATCTAGAGAGGAAGATAGCCACATATTCCTTTGGGAAGATATCTGGGTTCGGAAGAACCATTTCATATCTCAGGGTATGAAGAACCATTTCATACTTGGGCACCTCACTCTAGCTTTGTCCCTCTTGCCTGCAGGTTGTGATTGCCACCAATATTGCAGAGACATCGCTGACTATTGATGGTATCTACTATGTGGTGGACCCAGGATTTGTGAAGCAGAAAGTTTACAATTCCAAGACAGGGATTGACCAGCTCGTGGTAACGCCTATTTCTCAGGTATGATGGCTTGTATCAACAGTTTTCCTGATAATCCTGGTTAGGGCCTTTCTGAAAATTTTTATGGTTATATATTTCAAACTTTATTGTTTTCAAAGATGAAATTTTATGATACTGGGTACTATAATGACATGAGATAAAAGAGTTTTTTGTTATTTGTTTTTAATCTTTTTTTATCCCCCAAGTCTGATTGATCCTTGAGGTTTTTAATCTTTAGAATAGTATTTCACCATTAAAATGCCCCCATAAGGCCAGACACTGTGGCTCACACCTGTAATCCCAGCACTTTGGAATGCTGAAGTGGGAGGATTGCTTGAGGCCAGGGGTTCTAAACTAGCCTGGGCAACATAGCAAGACCCTGTCACTACAAAAAATAATAAAAAAAAATTAGCCTGGCATGGTGGCATGTGCCGCTGGTCCCAGCTGCTTAAGAGTCTGAGGTGGGAGGATCACTTAAGCCCAGGAATCTGAGGCTGCAGTGAGCTAGGATAGTGCCACTACACTCTAGCGGGGGCAACAGAGCAAGGCCCTGTCTCTAAAATAATAATAATAATTTTTTAAATGCCCCATAAAACTAGAACATAAAAATGTTTGGATCCTAGTACCCTATATTACCTAATTTAGATGGAAAGATCAGTACTTTATTTTCTAAAATACTTTGCTTAGCTACGAGATAGATATCTAAGATAATAATAAATTACATGATTTTCTGGTTTTTTGGTAATTTGGTAAAATGTAATTTCCTGCCTAAATTACATTTAAAAATGAATTACCGATCACTTTTTTGAGAGAAGTTTGGCAACAGTATATCCAAAACTTAAAGGTTCTCATCTCTTTAACCTAACTGTTCTGCTTTTAGGAATGTATCTGAAAGTTAGAAATGATTAAATACATGTCCAAAGGTAATGGAAAAGGATGTTCATTGAAGCGTTGTTTATATCGGGGAAACCTGGAAGAAATTCTAAATGTATTCCAAAAGGGAAGTAGTTTAATAAATTATGGTATATTCATGCCATAGAATATTGGTGGCATTAACATGGTGGTGTGTATCTATATTTAATGACATAAGCATGTAACTATAATATTTTATTTGAAAAAGTGAGCCTACAAAACAACATGAATGATATAATCCAATTTTTATTTAAAAATAGATGGTGAGCATTTCTACAGAGTGTGTGTGAGTGAGGTATGCCAAAGATTGAAAGCATGTAGTCTAAATGTTAGCTAAGATTATTTATGGGTGGTGCTAGTAGGTGATGTGCATTTTCTTTTATACTTTTATATGTTGTTTTAATCTTTTACAGTGGGTATATATTACTTTCATAATTTGTGAAAGCCGTAAGGCTATTTTTTTTTTTGAACTTAAGTAATAATAATAGCTAACACTTTTTTTTTTTTTTGAGATGGAGCCTCGCTCTGTAGCCCAGACTGGAGTGCAATGGTGCGATCTCGGCTCACTGAAACCTCTGCCTCCTGGGTTCAAGTGATTCTCCTGCCTCAGCCTCCCAAGTAGCTGGGACTACAGGTGCATGCCACCATGCCCAGCTAATTTTTGTATTTTTGGTAGGGTTTCATTGTTATCCAGGATGGTCTCAATCTCCTGACCTCATGATCCACCTGCCTTGGCCTGCCAAAGTGCTGGGATTACAGGCGTGAGCCACCATGCCCGGCCCAATAATAGCAAACACTTTTAGTACTTAACGTACTAGATGCATGCATTGACTCAGTGCATTCTTGCATTGATCCTATGTGGTAGATATTATTTTCACAGATGAGGAGCCTGAGGCACAGGGGTTAGGTGACTTGCCTAACATCACAGAGCTAGTGGAGCCAAGATTTAAACCTGGGTAGCTGGCTCCAGCTTGTATGCTCTATACTACTTGTCAGGGTGATGGTTATCAAAAAATTAATTACACATGCCTGTCCTGATTTGGAGAGAGACATCTGTAGAATGCTGTAGAATCCAGTCACTGTGTGTGATTGCTGCCTGGATTTGTGTGGTTAGTTGTCCTTTCATAACCCATCTTTTGGTTTGGAGCTGGCATAGTAATTTGTAAATCCTGGTACTGTTTGTAACAACAGATGGTTTTGTCAGAAAACGGCCCTCTTCAGATTGCTATTCATGGTTTCCTAGCAACCTATGGCTAGACTACATTTTTTTTTTTAATAAAAAAAATTGGTGTTTTTGAAGTAGTGTTATACTATTTTTGAAAAATAGAAGAAAAGAATTTACCCATCATCCTACTACCTCCACTGTCATCATTTTGCTGTTTTTCATTCCTGTCTTTTTTCATGTTTATTTATTTCATGGTTGCAATTTTAGTAGTCAAGTAAATATGCAGTTTTGTGTATTTTTTTGAGTATTTAATTTTCCCGTTAGAATAATACATGTTCAATATTTGGTAAAGTCTAAAGAAAATAGACCTCATCTGCAAGCCTACTATCAGAGTTAGCCACTGTTAACATTTTAGGGTTTTTTTCCCCTAGTCATTTCCTTCTAGTAGTTGATATAGAAAGACTTTTTATAAAATTATTTTATGTTGTTTTGTAACTTGCATTTTGCATTTAACGTGAGTGAACATTTTCTTCTGTCATTTAACATTGCAAACATGATTTTTATTTTTATTTTTTATTTTGAGTCAGGGTCAGTCTCTGTTGTTGCCCAGGCTGTAGTGCAGTGATGTGATCACGGCTCACTGCAGCCAGCCTCGACCTCCCCAGGCTCAGGTGGTCCTCCCATCTGAGCCTCCTGAATCCTGGGACTACAGGTGTGAGCCACCACACCAGGTTAATTTTTGTATTTTTTGTAGAGATGGAGTTTCAACATACTGCCCTGGCTGGTCTCGAACTCCTGGGCTCAGGCGATCTGCCCACTTTGGCCTCCCAAAGTGCTGGGATTATAGGCATGAGCCATGATGCCTGGCCTGCAAACATGATTTTTAAAATGACTGCAGAGTCATCATTGGTATGATTGACATAATTTATTTATTTCACTTACATTTTTGGTCATAACTGTGGGGATGGTGTTCTGTCATCTTGTTTTATGCTTTCTCTTTTATATTGTGCCACACTGTTTTGAAGATATATGTCTGAGATCTGTATAATATTTCTTCCATTAACCCTGCTTGTATTGCCTCCCTTGAACAAACTTCCCCAAAGTGCTGCATATGGAGAGGGGAAGATAAGAGCATTGGCAATCTTGGAAGTGGTCCCAAAGGAAGTGAAATCAACCCCATTCCTGATTTTGCCGGTTGCTAATTGTCCCCCTTTTAACAGATATCCTGGATAAAGCTGTTAAGCAGTGTTTAACAGATAGTTTGCTTTTATATTCCCACCCCTCTAGGCTCAGGCAAAGCAACGAGCTGGCAGAGCTGGGAGAACAGGCCCAGGAAAGTGTTACAGGCTATACACAGAACGTGCCTACCGAGATGAAATGCTGACCACAAACGTGCCGGAAATCCAGAGAACCAACTTAGCAAGCACAGTGCTGTCACTCAAGGTAGAAATCACTGTCTTGTTAGAATGGGTTGGTGGAACAGTCCAATCCTGGCCTTCATAAATGAATCTCAGTTTTATGAACCTTGTTAAATACTTTAGTAACCTCATGAAACCAGTCCCTTTGAGTGAAATGCAAATGGCTCTGATAACAGCCTCTCACGGCAGGTCTGGGGCTAAGTTGGCTTGTCTGCTGTGAACACACATTTTTTCTTACCATAACAGCCAGCAGGATATTAGGTTGTAAAAGGTTCTAGTTAGGAGCATTTTCTAAAAGGAAATTAGAAAAATATAATCAATGCCAAACTGTGGACAAACACACCTAACCTCAACCACTTTAGCGCTCAGATCCAATTCTGTTCTTTTAGAACGAGAGAAAAAAACCCTGTTCAAAAACTTTGCAAGGGAACTGTCAGTACAGATTTCAGACTGGCTCTGAGGGACTTGGTTTTCATTCTGAATCATTGTTCTTCCTCTCTTAGTCCCCAGTGAGGACTTCATTCTCTTTTGGCAGGAGGAGCCGTATGAGTAATTTCCCAGCTGATGGCGTTTCCCCCGACACTGATGCTACCCTGGAGCCCTAGCACATTCTGGTGCAGAGTGCTCTGTTGTCATTTATTATTTATTCCCTGTAAAAGAGGCTAAAACAGAGCTTTGGAAAGAAAAAAGAAATGTGCTCCAGTCTCTGGAGTGCCAACAGAGAGGCATCTGTGGCTCGGACTTCAGCTCCAAACTGTGTGACTTTGGGCAAGTTTATTTACTTTGCCCTCTGCTCTGTATTCTCCTCTGAAAAGGGGGCTGTTAATAGTATTTGTTGGAAAGATAAGTGAGATAATGTAGGTAAAGGCACTTGGCACAGTGCTTGATGATTGCTAACATAATTCCTCATAGTTATTATTCACACAATAAACATTTATTGAACACCTGCTGTGTTTATGGTCACGATCACTTTATGAGAAAGAAATAGAAAGCTTAGGTCCTACCACATCACACTTTATACACACTTGAATTGTGCATCATTCAGTCGTTTCTTTTATTCATCAAATTAACTAATGTATTGAACACCTGCTACGTGCCAGGCGTGTAGATTGTACTGTGGTGGTGTTGTGAACATAGTTCTCACCCAGTATGAACTCTCTGAAAGCAGGGGTCATATCTTGGCCATCTTTATATCCCTCCCACCTAACATGGTACGAGGTCCCTCATAGATGTGTAGTAGAGATGATGTATGCAAGAGACAGGACAAGCTGGTAGACTATATTATTATTATTATTGTAAAATACATAGCGACATTTACTATTGTAACCTTTTTAAACTATACAATTCAGTGCCATTAAATACATTCACAATGTTGTACAACCATCACCAACATCCATTTCCACAACTTTTCATTGTCCCAAACAGAAACTCTGTACCCATTAAACCGTAACTCCCCTTTCCCCCTCCCTCTATATCCGTTGGTAACTACTCTTCTACTTTCTGCCTCTCTGAATTTGTCTATTCTAGATAACCTCATTTAAGTGGAATCATACAATACTCTTTTGTATCTGACCTGTTTCCCTTAGAATAATGTTTTCAAGATTTATTCATGTTATTTTAAAGGTTTATCCATTTATTTCATTCCTTTCTAAGGGTGAATAGTATTCTGTTGTATGTATATACCACATTTTGTTTATCCATTCATCAGCAGATGGACATTTGGATTGTTTCTACCT